ATTATTATTATTATTATTATCATCATCTCACCTGTTCGTGCCACATGCCTAGAGCGTGAACTATTTCATGCACGGCTGTGCCCAAAGATTCACAACCTCTGCCCAAACTGACCATCTGGACACCACCCACACGGCCGATTTGAGACCAGCATCTGAGGAAATGACATAACCATGAAATAGGCGGTACAACAATCAAGAGAAATAGGTTTGCTTCTTTCGTTGACACTGCAAGTTAACAGAGGCTGGGGAAAAAAGCTACAGTAAATGTAAGTATCTAGGGGAAAATAATGATACTGTAAGATGACCGGGGATTACATTGTAGTTCTGGGTGTGTTCATGCCCTTGTACGAATCACCTCGTCTTTCCTTCTGTACAAGCAGTGAAAACAATACAAAATAAGCACATGTTTTGACGCATAACATCGGTGGTCCTTATTAACTCAACTCGGTTCGCTTCTAAACCAGAAAATTAACGATAAGATCAGGTTAATTCATACGCATAAATTACTCTATCTGAATGAGCAATTTCTCTGTGTGAAGGAACAATGAGAACAATACATAATAAGTAGCTCTACAGATATTCATATTGACGAATAACATTATCGAGTTTCTGCTGGGACGTTGTCATTATCACTGTCAGCAGGGGTTGGCTTTGACATGAGGGGTTTAAGTCCGCCTCCTAAAATGGTCTAAATTATGTCGATGGGGACGTAAAAACATCAATTTAAAAAAATAACATTTTACAAATAACGCCTTCTGTCTAAACTCACCCAGGTTCGCTTATAAACCGGATAAAGTCCCTGTCTTCAGGTTTTTTCTCTCTGAACGTAATGCACGTTCTTTTCTGTATGTGGTTCATGGCTCTCTCAAACACACGTTTGGCTTCTGGGCCTGTAGAATACACACAAAGAAAAGACTTTATATTAGAGTTTTCAAGAGTTTTGTATTGTGTTTGTATGTTAGTGTGTGTGTGTGTGTGTGTGTGTGTGTGTGTGTGTGTGTGTGTGTGTGTGTGTGTGTGTGTGTGTGTGTGTGTG